TGTCTGGCAAACTCAAAAACCAATCCATCTGTGAGGTTTCAATATGCAGCTATCCCCACTCAGCGCGTCTATGTGTCTGGCAAAAACCAATGCATCTGTGAGGTTTCAGTATGCAGCTATCCTCACTCAACACGTCTAGGTGTCTCGCAATCTCCAATACAAATGACCTGTGAGGTTCAATATGTGTCTATCCTCATTCAACGCGTCTATGTGTCCGGCACTCCAACATCACTCAACCCGTGGGACTGTATGCAGCTATCCCCACGCAATCCGTCCATGGTGTGGCAATCTCAAACCTCCCCTTTCCGTGGGGCTTCAGTATACAGCTATAATCACTCAACACGTCTATGTGTCCGGCAATCTCCTACCGCGCCCAAACCTAAGCGAGAACACGACCAAGTTTCACCATGTACGAAAACACACCAAAACGAAATCCGAAGCATGCCAGACTTGCTTTCATCGTTTTGGCACCTGAAAAAAAGCCAACACCACCGAACAATCAACAAAAGCTACAAGCAAAATTCGCACAAAGAAAAATACCATCGACTGCTGGGAAGACTCAAAACACATGAGTCGTGGTATGGTCATGGCGTTCCACGGCATGCGCACACCGATATAAACCCCGAAGGAAACAATGCATCCGAAGACGACACTTACTCTACGCAGACATCATCCACCCCCGACGGCGCTCCTACCACTTCAACTGAGTCGCTGTCGTCCTTGTCCCCCACGGTGCTGTCATCTTCATCGATTTCCAACACCTCCAGCAAATCCGCCATCTTCAACGGTTGTTCGTCCGCCGCTGGGTCAGCCTTCCCCGCGCCAGCAGCGGCCACGTCGCCGTCTGCTTGCACGCCGAGCTCCTTGTTGGCCCACGTCTCGTCTTCAGATCCGTCGAAGGGAAGGCACATGCCGGCCTTCTTCCAGCTTGAGCGGATGCTCTCAGGGTCCACGTCATCCCACGCTTTCTTCACCCACTGCGCGAGCAAACCCCTTGATGGGGGGTCCGGATAGCCGCGGTCGTTGCGCACGACCTTGTCAGAGGTCATGTGGTCGTCGTGCAGCCGAGACATGTTAGACTTGAACAACTTGATGATGAGGCCATCCCAAGGCTGGATCTTGGGCGTCAGTCCTCCGGGGATGAGGAACAGCGTCGTGTTGGATGTCTTCATCGCAGTTTTGCACGCCGCTGTCTTGTGCACAGTGTAGTCGTCCCAAGCTAGAAGCGTGTCTGGCTGACGGTAGCTCAATTCTCTCCCTCCGCGGCCCGGGCGCCGGTTCCACACTTGAGGCAGCCAAACGTCGTTGAACACCCGCTGTGTGTGCCACGCCTTCTCGTCCACGGCGTACACGACACCCCGAGGGTAGGTGTGTCCTTGCTTGTCCTTGCCCGCCTTGAACTCCCGTTCGATGCTGTTGGGAGCCAGGGGCTTCCCCTGCGCCGTGTGCTTGCCCTTGAAGATGAGCAAGGGCGGGAGCTTGTCTCCACTCATGTTCGCTGCGAGCACAGCAGTGATGCGCACCTTTTCCTTGCCGCCGGTTTTCACGGCGACCTCCTTCTGGCTGGTGCGCTGCAAAAGGGGAAGAAAACGACAATAATAAAACAAAGGCGAACAAGCAAGCCGATTCGTAGATGAGGGGTGAAAACTCTTCATGCACCGAGGGAAACAGTGTTGTTCGCTTCATTGCAGCAATGGCAAACCGAGTGTCTCGAGATATCATCGTAGCAGAAGCGCAACTCGGGTCTCACCCAGCCTTTCTGGCTGGACACAGCTTTCTACGGCAGGAAGATAGTGACACGATGCGCCCCCTATGTGCTCGTGACGCCGGGAGACAATTTGACGCAATAAGAGGGAAAATAGGGCATCTGATCCGAAGCGACACCACCACGTGTACTCACCGCCACGGTCGTGTTGCCAGGTAGCTCTAGCCACACCGGAGTTTCGTCCATGTTGAAGGATTGCTTCTTCGAGAACAACAGAGGTGGCATCGACGACCCACTATTCGCCGCCGCGCCCGCGCCCCCCCCCTCCCCACCGTTGATTCCTCCGTGACGAAGCGCCCTCCACTCCTTGACGGCCTTCATGGTAATCGCAGGCCACCGGTCGGGAGCTTCTGGCCTTTCCGGGTAACCGACCTCATCGACAAGTGGTTCTTCTCAAGAAACCTCCTGCACCATGTGGTCTGCCTGTGGCGGTACTTCTTGTTGTCGTCCAGGTCTTTGGGAGCAGGCTTCGGGCCGAAGAAAAGCGGGTTGATTGAAACGGCCTTGTTCTTGATCATCCTCGTCGAGACACGAGCAGAGACGGCATCCGCGCGGAGATCGTTGATCCAGTCGAGAATTTCGAGCTCGGCGTCCGCGTTTGACCTTGACCTCCCGACGCTGAACGACTTGGCACTCCGAGCTTTTTTCTTGCCTTTGGGCCCATCTTGTCCACCTTCGCCAGCTGTTCCTCGAGTTGCTTCCGGTCCTTGACCCACGCTGCAAGGGTCGCCTTTTTCAGAAATCCCCAACACTCTTGTGGCATACGATACGCCAACGGTTCCACCCGACCCCTGCGCCCCCGGGCTGATCTTGCTCGCGTACCTCACCGCGTTTGCTGTGAACTCCAAGGCGTACCGCTTGCGTTGCCGGCCGCCACCATACTCGATGGCAAAGTCCGGCGGCTCCAACTCAAGCCGCTCTCGCTTCCTCTTGCCCTTGCCTTTTCCCTCTGCCGGCATGCTGTCGAGGCGCCCACCGAAGTCATCAGTCCATGCGTCTGACTCTCCAGGAAACATCGTGTCGCCGGCGGGCGCCGCTGCTGCTGCTGGCGTCGGCGCGGCCTCAGGTGGCGTCACTTTCCTGAAAAATGCAGGCGTCCGATGAAGCGACGAACAAACGCACATGCGGTCAAGTGCAATTCGCGTTGTGCGTGATGATGCCTTTACTCGGACGAAAACCAGCCGCAAGTTACCGCAAATGAGATTGCTGACGTTTACATGCCCACATGCCTTTTAGCACTCGTGAGGCAAGATGGTGGAACGAAAAATATACTGGAGTTATTTATTATCGCAAACAGCGCAAAGTCGTATCGTTCTGGTTCCATGCCTTTGGGAAATAAATACAGCAGTACCATAACAGAGAGACTACCCGTTCGAGATATAACCACAGTTGTTGTCGTCCAAAAAGAGCGTCACAGCACACACGTGAGACTAGCGTCCTTTCATTGGTCAGCCAAGTAGCGAGATCGATGATCATTCTGGAAAAATATACATGCATGTGCACAAACAACTCAGGAAAAAAGAAAAATGGCGCACAAAAATAAGCATCTGATTGACGCTAAAACAATGTATCCCGATAAACGCGGGCTGCTGTCCTGCTGTAACAAAAGACAAAAAATGTTCGCAAAAAACCGTGCGCTACACGCAACAATGCGCTCTGAGCACTCCTTACTGGTTGGGAGACGTGGCCGGACTTGTCATGTCTTGCGCAGAACTCCGGGCCTGCCGCCCCTGGCTCCGCCCACGAGGTCTTGTTGCTGCATGACGGTTCGCCGCAGCGCAGTGCCCCTGAAGGGTCCCCAGCTGTGGGGGCGCTCGGTTTTTCAGTGGGTGGTGGTGTGCATGGCTTCTGGGTTGCGGGTGGTGTCGTGTGGGCGTCAGCAGCACGGGCGGTGCCAAGCACAGGAGGTATTGTTGCGGGAGTGTCAGCAGTAGGTTCTGCTGTGCGGGCCTCGGCAGCACGGGCGGTGCCAGATACAAGAGGTGTTGCTGCGGGAGTGTCAGCAGTAGGTTCTGGTGCGGGGTCCTCAGCAGGACGGGCGGTGGCAGGCACACCGAGTGCTGCGGGAGTTTCAGGCGCCACAGAAAAAAATGACGTAATTGGGCGTGGCGCCGCCGCTGGAGTCTAAGCCGCGATGCTTTCAGCAGTGTTGTGTGCTCTGTCCATCTCCGCGGTGTTGTCGGTTGCCAAAGCTGGAGCTCAGGGTTGCGGCATGCACTATGTGCGTGATCACTGCCTACCACACCGGTGTGATAAGGGGCTCTGTGGTATATATTTGCGGCTCAACTTAGGGGGTGTGGAATCTTCTGTGACCGTGTGATGAATCGATGTTTTTTTCCACGACGCCAAAAATTATCACACCGGTGTGGTTTTCTGTACAATTTCGTTAGGGGTGTGGTATCTTGTGTCACCTACGGTACTAAATACTACCTGGTACTGTACACTTCGTACGTGACGAATACATTCCACACCGATTTGTGTTCCGGTGGTTTCTCTACACAGAGGAGTGACCCGGCAACAATTGGAAAGCTATCTCCCGCGAGCTGTGTGTACGACATGTCTTGTGTGGCGACTGACAGAGGCCACGGCGCCACATGCATACATTGTATGACCCACGGAAGTTGCAGGCGGCGAGAGTCGGCAGTGCATGCATGCGAGAAAAAACACCCCACCGAAAAATTGGAAAGCATTTTATTCCTGTGGCACAGCTTTTGTTTCAAGGTGACCCCTCCCCGCACACCGAAGCAATGGCAGTAACGAAAGTTATCCTCCACGAGCTGTGTCCATGCTCCGTCTTGTGTGGTGATTTATACAGACCAGGACGATCTAGGCCGCTCAGAAATTGCGAGCCCGAGAGCCTGGTACAGCCTGAAAAAAAACCCGCCGTGTCTGCTTGGATCAGTTCGCATGTTTTTTCCCCAGGCCAAGGTTGGGTTTACTGATGATCCCTCTCCACACACCTAAGCAACAGCAATGACAAGGCATCCGCCACTAGTTCTGTGTATGGCTCCCTTCCCTCGCTAGTTCTGTCTTGCCAATCCCGGTGGTGTGTTTCGCTGAGTGCTTCCTCTGTTTCTCACGTGGAGTGAAGTAAGCAACCGCGTGTGGGTGGGTGGGAGATCTTCCATTTTTTTGTTCCTCCAAAACCTTGGCAATTCCTGGGTTTCGGGGTGAGTATCTCCTACGGTTTTTGGGTACAAAATGCCGGTGAAGCACGGCCATCTGCTGTCGGAGCGCGACCAAACCCGTGCGGTGAAAATCCTCCTATATTTTCTTCTTCCTCACAAGCCAGCAGATCGTCAATCGGTGCTCTATAGACGTCGTTCTGGTCGAAAAGAAAGGCACATTCAGGCGGTCGTTTGTTGAACTCTGGCCCCTGGTGGATAGAATCTGTTTTTCGCTCTGAGAGGGAAAAGAACGGTCGCGCTCCACGCTCCGCGGCTCATAATAAGAGGTAGTTTGTCCTGTTTCTGAGATTATTATTCACTCTTTAAGCGAACCACTGAAAAAGAGCCACGTAGCCGTCACACACAACTTGCAGACACCATGCCCTGCGCAGCATGCAGCCGCTGCACAGCGGTCTCCGATCACACGCCAGGCCCACCAAACTTCACAAATCACCCATGAATTACGTACAGCGAACGAACGCGTTTGTCTATCCCCGTGCAAAAAATGTGTCACACGACCCCATGATTAATTTCCAACCCACGGGTATCGGGAGTGTATCCGGTACTTGCGGTGGGTACATTGCTCGCCAAGAAACAGATTATTGAGCGTGTGCAGCTAGTACAGGTGCTACCGCTTACTGACGACGTGATGTCACATGAATGAGGCCCTCCACAAGCTAGCTGGTTGAAACGAGAGCGTCCATCTTGCATGGCCTTCAAAATGCTACAAGTTAAGAGAAACTTCTCTTGAAACTTGTTGACGGTTCAAGAGAATATTTTCTGGAACCGTAGCTAACACGGTTTTAGAGAAATATCGATATAAGAGAAAAATAGGGTTTTGTCACGCCCCTCTCTTAAACCGTAGCCGTTACTGTACTGAAATATATGTTGAAGTCGGAATTCCGCAAGCCGGAAGGTCGTTTTTATCTTGGATTAAGACTAGAACTGAAAATCGCAGTTGGCAAGAACCCCTGAACATGCCATGCATGCTCCAGGCGGCGGGAACGATACAGAGGAGGCACCCCTTGTCGGTCCCATCCGTCCCGCGACGATACAATATCCCATGTGCACCGTATCTAACACCTCGTGCGCAGTGTATCGAAGATGTGTGGACAATACGAATCACTCTCCCTCCATGGCGACAAAAACCAGCGTTTTACCGTTTGCTGGTATTTAAGAACCGAGCGCCCATCTGAAAGTTCGTGTAGCGCGCGCACAAGTCGTTCGGGGGTCTGCTTGTGACTTAGAGTGTTCCGCCTACATATTTTGTACTGTGATCCACCGAAGATCGTTCCGAGATGGCATCGTTGCGGTCGCCGCCTACTACCCCGGTGAGTAAGATTGAACACAGAAAAGCATGCTGCAGGTTGAGGCCGGTTCGACGGGTACCCGTCAACCCTGTCCGGCTCATGCCCGGCTCTCCAGATACCCGAACCGGGTTTGGGACTCACCTAATACCCGCCATTTTTTAATCCTTACGTGACTTAAGTTACTTTGAATTATTTTGTTTTTTTCCCCACAGCTGGCACTCTGCGGTCAAAGATCTTCCAAGCACGCGTGTACACCCATAAATCACGGCGGCAAGAATGGTGCAGCAGTGAGTCCATGTGTGGGGCTCACAGGCATGGGGACGCGGTATATGTAAGGAAGGGTGACGAACAGGAGTAGTACTACTGCTGTAGTTTCTGAGCAGGTGTGCATGCCTGTCTCCGACAGCAACCGTCCGCACAGAGGATGTACCTGTGCAGGCAATACCTGTTCGCACATCTTCTCCACCTCATCCTTGGACAGAGCATAAGGCAAGCGCATATGATAGCGGCGCTAGGTGCGAAGAGGCTGACGGGAAACCGCCTCACAGAAGCGCCAGAACGAAGAAAACGGACCGCTCATCAGAGCATCGAGTCCATCATCCACTATCGCACAAAATGCATAAAAATCGTGATGAATTTTACTAATCTGTATTACAAATAGAGAGCTGTGATCGCAGCTGTAGTCCCGAAAACCCTTGCCTTTGAGCGAAATTTTGCACACAGCAGACGAGCCACCCTTCACTCCCAATACTGGGAACCGCACGCACCGCAGTCACAACAACATCAAGTACCGAGGCAGTAGGTTAGCATCGGCTCCGGTGTGCACTTTCTCTGCTCTCCCCCGCGGATGCGGCACCGGGTTCATCACGTGTACCCTCCGGTGGTATTTTGCGTTTGAATCTTACAGTAGTACCGGTAGGCAGTAGATTGGATCTGGAAAGGGTATCTGCCCCACGTCAGAGAGGTTAGGCATGGGTGAATAGTATTGTACTATAATATGTGAGTCCTGTGCGCATTGCTGATAAGCGTGCTTTTGGGGTGGGCTGCCTGTGTCTCCCTGCTGGTCTCTATGTATGTTTTTTGCTCTTAGCCGAGGCACAACGGCGATCTTTTGGCACGCAAAGTGATCGGAGCCGAGAACGGAGCTGAATCGGCCTGTAGTCACGTCAGGGTTAAGGCGGGTAACCCGGGTACCCGCGTACCCGCTATTTCGGGGGGGG